CACATTTTCTTAAAATTCCAAAACTAACCTTTATATTTTAAAAAATCCTACACCCCTACTTTTTTTCTTCAACGGATATCCCACATCGAATGTGCCCACATCCGTTAAAGCTTAATATTTCTTTTTAGTTTTTAGTTTATTAATTTATTGTATTAATAATAAGGCTTAATACCTCTTTTGGTCCCTCAAAAGAGGGGGAATGTTCAAATTCGTCCTACCTTTTTTAAAAAGTTAAAAAGGTCCCAACTTATGAAAAAAATGTTCAAGTTAATCCTTTTTTGTTACGGCGTCAAATTTTTAACGGTGCAACTACCACTCTGGACAAAACATAATGACGTGTCTAGTTTATGTCATTGTGTGGCAGTGTGAGGTTAAATGACGTGTAAAATTTAAATTTAAAAAAAAATTGATAGAGGGTAAGGGTTGCTTGCTCTGCATTGAAGAAGATGCAGATATTGATGGCGTGATGAAGACTGACGATGAAGGGTTTGCTTACAGGTTCGAAGAGTTTGATGTGCTGATGGAAAATCTTGGTTGGGTGATTTTCACGAGAGGGTTGGACGTTTTTTATTAGCGATGAACTAGCGATTAGGGTTCCTAATTTGGGATTTTCTGTCCTGCGATTAGTGGTAGGCTTAAAACTTAAAGTGATATAGCAAGAATAAAAAACAAAATACGAGGGTATTGAATGTGTTCAATAAATTAGAGATTTACAACTGTTATAGGTTTTAGTTATGGTAGTGGAAAGTTATATTTTTGTGGTCTTGTGATGTTAGATATTTCCATTTGCATATGGAATATAGTAATTTAAGCCCATGTTATCAATGAACTATGTGATTCTGCAAATTTTCAATTTTAGATATCACTATGGTGAACTATACAAGTTTGTTTTGCTTTTTAACTTTGCACATCAATTTTAACAGCTTAAATGATTCCACTGGTTCAACTGGAAATAAAATAATTACACCTAATGGTTCAATTGGAAATAAAATAATTACACGCATAAAATAATGAAAGTGACAATAGCCTTCAACCAGTTTGTCACTAGCCTAACTGAGAGGATGCCAAGGTAAGAGTGATTTTTGTATGGATTGAATTTGCATATTCTATGAAAATAAATAATGTATTGGCATGGATGAAAATGTAGGGTAAGATTTGGTTATGCCCTAATATTGAGTTTATCGCGAATAAAAATCGTCCAACCCTCTCGTGAAAATCCCCAACCAAGATTTGTCATCAACACATCAAACTCTTCGACTACAAGCAAACCCTTCATCGCCATTCTTCATCACGCCATCAACATCTGCATCTTCTTCAACTTAGAGCAAAACAGCCCTACCTCTGTCAAAATATTTTTTTTAAAATTTAAATTTTACACGTCATTTAACATCACACTGTCATTTAATGACATAAACTAGACACATCATTATGTTCTGTCCAGGGTGGCAGCTGCACCGTTAAAAATTTGACGCCGTAACCAAAAAGGATTAACTTGAACAAATTTTTCACAAGTTAGGACCCTTTTTAACTTTTTAAAAAAATAGGACGAATTTGAACATTACATCTCTTTCGAGGGACCAAAAGAGGTATTAAACCTAATAATAATTATTTAATTAAATAAAACAAATTAATTTACGTAATATGTTATAAAAAACAAAAAAATTTAAATAATATATAAATTAAATAAAATATAATATTTAAATAAACTAAAAATTAAAAAAAAACTAACAAACGGATGTGGCACATATTTGAATATAATTAATTAAAAAATATTATAATTTAATTAAATTAATAATTATTATTTAATTAAATAAAATAAAATTAATTTTCGTAATAAATTATAAAAAAATAAAAATATTTAAATAATATATAAATTAAATAAAATATAATATTTAAATAAACTAAAAATTAAAAAAAAACTAACAAACGGATGTGGCACATATTTGAATATAATTAATTAAAAAATATTATAATTTAATTAAATTAATAATTATTATTTAATTAAATAAAATAAAATTAATTTTCGTAATAAATTATAAAAAATTTTAAGTAATTTATAAATTAATTAAAATATAATATTTAAAAAAATTAAAAAAAAAAACACTTAAACGGTGTCGCCAGCTCTGAGCAGTAAGGTCAGTCTTTCAACCACGAGGTTCGTTTGCCAAGCGGTGAAAATTCCAATGTCAATGTACCCGTGAATTGGTTGGGTCGAATCTGGGGCCGTACACTCTGCACCACCGACTCAATTACCGAAAAGTTCTCTTATGCTACCGGAGACTGCAGTTCTGGCAAGATAGCATGTAATGGAAGTGGAGGCTCTCCACCGAACACGCTGGTGGAGTTCAGTTTAGACGGCTTCAACGATATTGACTTTCATGATGTGAGCTTGGTGGATGGGTTCAACCTGCCCTTGATTGTTGTTCCTATAAGTGGTTCCGGCAGTAGCTGTAAGAGCACAGGGTGCATGGTGGATTTGAACGCAGTGTGTCCGGCGGAGCTAAAGAAAAGTGATTCCAAATCCTGATTTTTCAATTTTGTCATGTGATAATCCTTTCGTTTAAATAAAAATTTCACATAATCAAATAATACATATAAGTATGAACATATCATCACAGTTTTAACTTTGTTTGTCAAAATTTAACAAAAATGGTAAAATTGACTCAATTTTACAAATATATAAACCCAATTTTTATAGTTTAAAAAACGAGGACTCACTTGAGATTCTCTAACAAATACGAGGACCATCCGAGGGTTTAAACTTATAGATTTAACTATTCAAGACTCTAATATTATAAATGGACATATGATACAAAAATTATTAATCTTAAAAACTTATTTGTTTGTTGTTTTTGGATTTATTTAGAATTGTTTTTGGAATTGAACATCGTTTTAGAGTGAAATTTATTTAGATTTGAATTAAAAAAATTATAAATTTTTTATTTTAAAAAAAAACTTATAATTAAGTGAGCCGGTGAGGCAACCCGTTTAACCCACCAACCCGTGATGGGTTGAGTCAGGTTCAAATTTTTTCAGCTTGTTAATAAATGAACCGGTTTGGGTTGGCTCACTAAGTAACCAACCGGTGATAGGTCGAGTTGGGTTGGGTCGGGTTATCCGTTTTGACATCTCTAAATATATAGTTTAAGCCCCTACATTTCATGTATATTTATTCATTTGAAACAAATTAATTTATAGCAAAAAATTCTACTCTTTGAAATCACATGTAAACTCTAGAAAGAGAATGCTTGAATAGTTTAAAATTTTTCACAATTTTAGTGCTAGATGTTATTGCAAAGGTTCAATAGTCTGCACATAGAGTTGAACAGTTAAAGAATTTTTATAAAGCATTTAAAATTCAGTGAAAAGATAACAAGAAGGACAATTTATTTTTATATTGGTTCACTACAATGGAGTTATGTCTAATAAATTTTAAGCACTTTTAAAGGGTTTCACTAATCTTTGAAAATATTATAATAACAAGTTTAACCACTCATCGTTTACAATGAATTTAACCACTTCTCATTTACAACGAGTATAAATACTCCGGGTAAACAATAGTCTAACTGATTACATTTAACTCTCCCTGAGTTAAATAACCAAGTGTTTTAAATCATTATTGATTATACAAAATAGCAAAGTGTTTTTATAAGACAAGTACAGATAAAATCTCTCTTAGAAAGGATATATGAGCAATACAAAGTTTATCTGAAAGACTTGCTACAAAGAATTTTCATTTTCAAAGAACTTAGACGACACAGATGAAAGAGAGTTTTGACAGCATAAGAGTATATGCAATTCTTGTTTTCTTCTTCATGTGGTCTTTCTTATATAGGCAATTTCGAAAAAGATTTGTTACTTAGAAGCATTGATTTTAGAGTAGGTGATGTAGCCTTTAGCACTAGGTCAAATGCTACTATTCTTTCGTAAAGATGGACTGAGCAACTTGTACAGATTGATCAGACATAAAGCTTTGAAGAAACATTCCTAGAATGTCTTCGTATCTCTTAACATTCTTTTGATCTATCATAGAACTTGAATAAAGCATTGTTCTTATGTGATCTGCACAAATAAAAAGAAACAACACAACAAGCAACAAGTATTATTCGTACATATGGATTTAAAATGTTAGACATTTTATTATACCATTTAGCATGGTTCATGTACTATAGAGTTTATATTAGTCTGTTTATCAAAATGTTTGCATTTAGGATATTTGATTAAACATAGATAGCGTTTAATGCGTTATCCTATACAGTCAATTTTTCTAAAAGCTATTATTTTAGATTTTTTTGTTAAACTTCTAAATAAAGGGTTTATTAACGATCTTGTCTTAAAACTCTCCATCTTAATGTTCATGAAAACTTGTGATTATTTTCTAATTTCATCTTAAAAATTAATTAAATTTGACAAAACCAAATACAATATATAAAATTCTTTTCGACTATGTTCACCTTCATTTGTAGTGCTTAGCAATAATGGTTTCCTCTCATGGTAAGCTTTCTCTCATCTCAGCCCTTTATTCAACACTTGAATTTTCCTTTCTT